GTATTTGAGCTTAGTCTCATCATGACCCAAATAGTTCTTTAGTAGCTTCTAAGCAAAATGCAGGTTGAATTTACCTTTGTTTTCTTCTTTTCTCCTCTGAAGAGAACAACAGCATAAGGGTTCGAGTGTTTCTTCTTGCCCTCGACATCTTTTGCAGATTGGACTGCAACCGAGAGTAGACCAGCTTGGCTGAGAAAATCGTCGTCCTCTGATGATTTCTCGTCTCTGCTTTCTTTTCTCTGGTACTCATCCTGACTTTTATTTCTACTCTTAAGGCTTTCTTCTCTGAATGGCACATACCTGAGATCCAACTCTAATCTTCCTCTCTTTTTCTTGTCTCCAGAATCCATAACAACATTTGAGTTCTTGATCAGATCAAGATTAAACGCCTTCTTCTCACCCGGGTTAATCTTTTGCAAGGGGATCAGCTGCATTCCCAATCTGTCGTGCCCACCGACCTATAGAGATATAGAGCAGCTTTATAAGAATGGCATAAAATGTTGGACTAGAGAAGAAACCAGACAGTGGAAGAATGAAGTGAGATGCATGGACCTTGTCCCAGTCAAAGACTTCTAGTTGAAGGACTTGTGATTTCGGGTCCTTCACGATGAGCTTAAAGTGTTCGTTCCATTCCGGGTTTAAGTTCCTCTTCTTTATGGTGGTTTTCTTTGCTGGAAGCTTTTCTCCAGTTAAGCTAAGCTTGACATAAGGGTCAGATGTTCCCAGCAAATCCTTCTTGAGGAGATTACGAGCTCGAATAATGTTCACATGTAGTAATCCAACAGGCTTCTTTACAGAAGCTCTACATTAGAAGTAAACTTATACATCAGAGGAAAGTAACAGAATGACCTCATGATTTCTAGTCACATTGATCAACACTTACGTTGAAGCATCAAGAATAGGTATCTCAAGCACTTGTGGCCAATGGTACATACTTGAAACTTGCCTTTTAATAGTTTCCTGCAAAATCATGATATAAAGATAAGTTCTCTGAAAAGATACCGATGAAGGAGCATCTCATTTGACTAGATAAACAACATAATCCAGCTCCTACCGATAGGAGGATCATCAATGCAGCACCTGAACATATCTGTAGAGACCCGGTATGGACATGACATCTCCACCAAGCACTTTCAATCCAAAATCAACATGTGGCTGCAAAGAGAATCATGTTTAGCAAAGCAGGCCACTTTCAAATCTACTCTGAGTCACTCTTGTGTGAAATACAGAGATGTAGCTACCTTTTCCATTAATGAAACTACAACCATTCCGAAACAAGGGAAGGTCGGCAGAAGAGGCTTCAGAGCTACACGCACTATCGCAAAAAACTGGAGATCTACGAGCTGCAACGGTAAAACATTTCAATATTCAGAAGTGAAGATGCTAAAACTTTGTGTTTATGGAACTAAAGAGTGGTATAGCTTTTCATTGCTTGTGTTTCATTCTTTGACAGTTTCAGTCTTACTGACCTGAACTCTAATTCGTAAAGAGAGAACCTTTAGCACCAAAACAATGTTGGGATTGCCTGCCCATTTTATTGATGGTTCAAACAGAAGCTCCTTCTCATTGGTCTCATAGAACTTAACGCCTGCAGAAGATTAGGCCTTAACCATTAATAGCACATTGAAAACAACGGTAAGAAATCACAAGAGCTAAATGGGACAAGGATTTGCCGTGAACTGTGGGTGGAAGCGGTCCAAGACTCAAATTTTCGAACTCAATGGATTCTATACAGAAGGTCCCAACAAAATCTGCAAATATAAGTTGTGCAGAACTCCGGATGATACCGCAAACAGCGTTATCGAGGTAAGGCCACATGTATGAGATAAATTTGTTAAACCAGTCCACCTTCATGTAAACAAGAGAAAGCACCATCAGTCAAGCAAGTAACCGAGCTTAGATACTAAAGTCCGAACACACAATCCTATAAAATGTGACTTACTCTTTCATAATCTGGATTCTTCATCCACAATGGAATCTCAGGTAAAAGATCAAGAAGAACACTGATGCTAGTTTCAACTAGTGGCCTCGCAGGTGGATACTGCAATGTGTTAAAACAGTGTATCATTAACCCTCAGATTCATAAACTAAAGTAGATAATCAGCAATTTTAATGAACAGTAAACCAAAGCCTCAAAATTTGATGGTAGCTACATGAAAAGTAAGAAGCTTTAATTCAAAACTAGGCTCTTAGATTCACCATCTTCAAACAAATTAAGAGAACAAAGCCTCAAACATGAACGATGAACGAATCAAAACGAAAGATGCGAAAAGTGTGTTTGATTGTGTTACCTCTTGGTGGGTAGGCTGAGAATAAATCAAGACGAAGAAACCAAGGATGAGTCCGATAGGGATTCCGATTACAAAACCGATGATCCCCAACACACTGGTGAAGAAACCCATGTTTTGTTTTTTTCGATGAAAATCTTATAGAAAAAAAAAGCGAGAAAATAAAAAAGAAAGAACAAGTCAGTCAGTAATATATGGAAACACGAAAGAGAAGGAATCGGGTCCAAAACGGTAACGACGAAGAGCCCTTCTGTTCTGTTTCCAACCGCCAAAATCTTTTTATGTGACAAAAGTTAAGTTTTTCCGATTTGTTATTATTTTTTATTTTTTTCTAGAGGATGAAAAAAATCACGAGATGTCATTTCCGTAGCCGACGTGAAAGTGATTTTTATTATCCTTTTCTTGTGTGATTGCCTGTGTTTTGTTTGTTGGCCTAATCAACTTGGGATTTTTAGCTTTCTTGGAAATAAATAAGATCACGATAATTAATTACGTTATGGTCCCAACTACAATTTGTTGGACTACTATTGGAACTAACAAATAAATACCCGAATTGATTGGATGAGTTAGAATATTACTACCTTTTAAGTTTTTGATATAGTCAAATTTTTAAATCATAGATTTGTAAAAATTAAATAGTAATAAAATTTTAAAATTAAATACATTTTTGGGATAAAATCCGTGTACTTTTGATTATATAAAATAACTCATTTTAATACAATTAACCATAATATTAATAGTAATTCCCTAATTGGTTAAATAGTAGAGTTGAACTTTATTTAATTTTATGGTAATACTTTTATTATTATCCTACTTAAAGAAAATCCAAAATAGTTTTACTTTTTTTTTATTGTGTTTAGTTCTTTTTTTTTTCTATTGATATTTGTGTTTAGTTCTTGATATTTTTATTGTTTACTTTTCTAAGATAAATCAATGTTGTAATGTAATTATATATAAAAAAATGCTTTAGTTTTGAAATCAACATCGAAAATGTGAACCAAACCCCGACCCGAAAGCCGCTGCCTTTCCATGCTCTTCAATTACATTTTTTTTTTGGTGAGCATGCTCTTCAATTACATAGTGTGTTAGTATTTATTATCTGCATGCATTGATTATAGGATATATTCTATTTATCTTAAATGTTGTTTCTATCAAAACCAAAAACAACATAAAAAAACATCATATTTCTAAAATATATCTGAGCAGAGCCGGCCATGAGGCCAAGCAAGGCAAGCTTGTGTTTGCGGCCCCAAATCCCCCATATATATAATCGGCCACATTTTTAACAATAATGTTCAAGTAGTCTAGTGGTTTTAAGTGTGTTATAATGTGTGCAGATGACCAATTCGAATCCACTAACTCTGTTTTCAATGTTTTTTTTTTTTTTTTCATTTTTAATTTTTTCTTACAAATCATAGGTTTAATATTATTTTTTGTTGCTTGTGGCCTTCAAATTCTCAGGGACGGCTCTGTATCTCAGTGATGGACAAACCAAACGTAGATTAGTGAAAGAAAATGCTCAAAACCCTAAGTCTTCTATCGTGACGAAGTAGAACTCGCAAAAACGGGAAATCGTCGAAGAAAAGAAATCCAAAACTTATTTTATTGGAATCAAATCTATCACGAGAAGACGTTTGACATCTCAATCGTTATAAATTTCAATAAAATGTGTTTCCATTGAATTGATTCATACGTCATTTTCGTTCCACATACGCCAATCGTGTAATATTTTAAATATTTTGGTTGAACATCAAAACTTTGTCAACAATAATGTAAACCAATATCTAAGTCTCTCTATTTGACCAAAGACCTTAAGAACCCTATCGGCTATCGCTATATATATGCTTTTTCAATATAACTCTAGTCTGAGAGATTTGAGCCCGCCACATGGTGAGAGGTGTAAGAGAGCAAGAGCCGCCAGTAGCTACAACAATATCCTGCTTATGATTTATGCAGTTATATATACTTTTTTGGTCATTCAATTATTACTACTTTTGCTTTGTTCAAAAACTTTAGTGTAAGGGCATCTCAAATGCCTATCTCTATAATTTCCTCTATTTTAGAGGAGATTTTGCTGCAATGTATGCCTCTAAAATAGAGTTTTCTCTAAAATAGAGGAGAGAGACATTAGATTACTCTATATATAGAGGCATTTATTGTCTCTCTCCTCTATTTTAGAGACACACATTGGAGCAAAATCTCCTCTAAAATAGAGTTCCTCTAAAATAGAGGAAAATATAGAGGTGTGCATTGGAGATGGTCTAATTTTCACATCATTCTTTATTTATTGGAGTGTCTAGCAAAGATTAGTCTTTCATACTTCCATTTCATTAGATTTTAAACTTTTTTTTTTTTTTTTTTTTAAAGATTTTAAACTTACCATTAAACTTTACCAGTTAACAAATTGTGGAGTATTTAGCAAAGACAACATGTGTTTTGTTGTGACTGCAACGATTCTAGACTTCTAGTTGTAACGAGATAGTGTGTTTGTCATATAGGAGAAAAGAAAAGAAAATATAAACACATTATACGAGAAAGAAGTTAAGACAGAAAAAAAAAACATGTTTAAGCGGTTGAAACTAATCGTATGCTTGAAGTATTTTAAATAATACTGTACTATTTAGCAAAGAAAATAGTTGTCAGTCACATTATGCGAGTGAAGAAGATATGAATGTTTATCCTTTTTTTTGTGGCTAAAAACGAATACTCCTATATATACTTCGTGACTATCCAGAAAACCCAATCTCTTAATCCAGCTCGTTAAAAGCTCCAGACTTGTCATTTGGGTCGCCGTCAGATTTTGTGATATATTATGGAGTTTTGTCAACCAAACGCAACCGCAGCAGCATTGAGCGACCCACTTAACTGGAATGTAGCAGCGGAGGCTTTAAAAGGGAGCCACCTGGAGGAGGTGAAGAAGATGGTGAAGGATTATAGGAAAGGAACGGTGCAGCTCGGCGGAGAGACGCTGACCATCGGTCAGGTTGCGGCGGTGGCGAGTGGAGGAACGACAGTGGAGCTTTCTGAGGAGGCTCGTGCCGGTGTAAAGGCGAGTAGTGAGTGGGTGATGGAGAGCATGAATCGTGGTACCGACACTTATGGTATCACCACTGGATTTGGTTCATCTTCTCGTAGGAGGACTGACCAAGGTGCTGCTCTTCAAAAAGAGCTTATTAGGTAATTAATATTCATAGTTGAAATCATTATATTTTTTAGTTTATTCTGTCGAAAATAAAATAGAATCATAGAAAACTAGGTTTAGAAACCCAATGGCAAAAAAAAAAAAAAAGGTTTAGAAACCCGCACATAAACTAATTTTTAAAAGGAATACATACTTATATCCAGCACCGGTAGATAAAGAATTTATAATATGCATGTGACATTTTACACCAACTAATAATCGCACCTAGTACTATAAAAGTTCAATTTTTTTAATATGTTAAATGAAGACTAAACTTTTGCACATTTTTTAGTAAAAACGACTTTCTGCCGAAAGAAGTTAAAAACAGCATCACTAAAGACGAGCATTTCATTTCATTGAATATCTTTTGCAAACAATTTTGTGTGTTTTATGAAAAATAAACGTTTCTGCTTTATCTGTTCCTCTGGACTGTTCTCATACTTTTATTGAAATCAGCTTTAACGTCTTAGAAAATGAAAAAAGGAGTGTGAGCGTGGAGGCAAAGTTGCATTTTTTTTTTTTTTTTGGTAAAAGTTGCTTTTTCTTTTTCTTTCGTCTTTTGGGTTGAACTAGAGAAGATGTGTCAGTCCGACCAGTGAAAGAATAAAGATATAGATTCAGTGTCGATAAAAATTGTTTAAGTGCAGTCAAAGTTATGCATTATTATGAGTAGTTGACAAAAAGTCATTAAAAAAAATAAAAGGAAATTGTTAAAAATGTTTCTTTTGGTGTACCCCTTTTTAAAATGCCCCTTTTAGATATCCATTTTAAAAAATGCTCATTTTTAAATCTGAAATTTTTAAAAATGTTTTATTAGGTTTATAAGGTACTTATGGATTGTAACTATTACTTGAAGACTCGATCCAAGTATTTATAAGGTTTTTTAAGGTGTTTTTAAAGGTTTTACAAGTTATTTTAAAGGATTTTTAAGGTTTTTCAAAGGTTTTACAAGATATTTTAAAGGTTTTTAAAGGTATTTAAAATGCATTTATAAGGTATTTATAAAGTATTTATAAGATTTTAGATACATAGAAATGTAGTTTGTGTATGTTTTAATAATGTTACATACATATTTGGGTAAATCTTATATTTTTAAGAGCATTTTTTATAGGGTTTTAAAGAAGGGATATTTTGAAAAGTGGCATTGAAAAAGGACTATTTTTGCAAAAGCCCCCAAAAAAATTATGATGATGTCTTAAGAATTGGTTTAAAACTGACGGATATATATATATCAAATTATATGAACCAGGTACTTGAACGCCGGGATATTCGCTACCGGCGACGGAGATGACGACACGTCAAACACGCTTCCCCGGCTGGCTACAAGAGCGGCGATGCTCATCCGCGTAAACACCCTCCTCCAAGGCTACTCTGGTATACGCTTTGAGATACTCGAAGCCATCACAAAATTCCTCAACCGGAAAATCACACCGCTCCTCCCTCTCCGAGGCACCATTACCGCCTCCGGCGACCTCGTTCCATTATCGTATATTGTTGGATTTCTCATCGGGCGCCCCAACTCACGATCTTTGGGCCCATCCGGCGAGATCCTCACCGCCTCGGAGGCCTTCAAGCTTGCCGGAGTATCATCCTTTTTCGAACTCCAGCCCAAGGAAGGGCTTGCGCTCGTGAATGGGACTGCGGTGGGATCTGCTTTAGCCTCCACGTTACTGTACGATGCCAACATTTTGGCGGTTTTTGCGGAGGTTGCTTCGGCCATGTTTGCTGAGGTTATGCAGGGGAAACCGGAGTTTACGGATCATCTTACGCATAAACTCAAGCACCATCCTGGTCAGATAGAAGCCGCCGCAATCATGGAGCATATCTTAGACGGAAGCTCTTATGTCAAAGAAGCTCAACATCTCCACAAGATTGATCCGCTTCAGAAACCTAAACAAGATCGGTATGTTCTTGGGTCTCAAGCAACTAGTTTCTTGTTTCTTAAGTAACCCTTTTGGTTTGCTTTATGATTAAATTGACTAGCAATTTTAGTTAACAGTTACGCTCTGCGAACGTCGCCGCAATGGCTCGGACCACAGATTGAGGTGATAAGAGCAGCGACAAAGATGATCGAACGTGAGATAAACTCGGTAAACGATAACCCTTTGATCGATGTTTCACGGAACAAAGCTATTCACGGTGGGAATTTCCAGGGGACACCGATTGGTGTCGCCATGGATAACACTCGTCTAGCACTTGCTTCGGTCGGGAAGCTAATGTTCGCTCAGTTCACTGAACTCGTAAATGATTACTACAACAACGGGTTACCCTCTAATCTATCTGGCGGGAGAAACCCTAGTCTTGATTACGGGTTAAAAGGCGCAGAAGTAGCCATGGCTTCTTATTGCTCAGAGCTTCAGTTCTTAGCTAATCCTGTGACGAACCATGTCGAAAGCGCCTCGCAACACAATCAAGATGTTAACTCTCTTGGGCTGATCTCGAGCCGAAAGACAGCAGAAGCTGTGGTTATCCTCAAGCTCATGTCAACAACTTACTTGGTAGCTTTGTGCCAAGCCTTTGATCTGAGACACCTTGAAGAAATTCTAAAAAAAGCGGTTAAGGAGGCTGTGAGCCAGACTGCCAAAAGCGTTCTAGCTATCGAACCATTCCGCAAACACGACGACATTCTCCGAGTTGTCAACCGCGAATACGTCTTCTCCTATGTTGATGACCCAACTAGCCTCACTAACCCTCTAATGCAGAAGCTGAGGCACGTCCTCTTCGACAAAGCTTTAGCTGAACTGGAAGGCGAGACAGACACGGTTTTCCGAAAAATCGGAGCGTTCGAAGCCGAGCTGAAATCTCTCCTTCCTAAAGAAGTGGAAAGAGTCAGGACAGAGTACGAGAACGGTACATCTAATGTGGCTAACCGAATCAAGAAGTGTCGATCGTATCCGCTGTACCGGTTTGTGCGAGACGAACTCGAGACTAGGTTGCTAACCGGAGAGAATGTCCGGTCACCAGGAGAGGATTTTGACAAAGTCTTCACAGCGATCTCTCAAGGCAAACTCATAGACCCTCTGTTCGAATGTCTCAAAGAGTGGAACGGAGCTCCGATTCCTCTCTGCTAGAACGTTCACTCAGATCAAAGTCTTGCCTTGCCTTTTCAATATCCTGCTTCTTTTATGATTATGTTGTGTGGAGAATATTTGGTGTGTATGTTTAGTTTTCATGACACTGAGTCACTGACTTTGATCAAAGTCTTGCCTAGCCCTTTCATTGTCCTGTTTCTTTCTTGTATGATTATGTCGTGGTGTTGTGGTCGATTCTGTAACGGGTCAGTCTTGTTAAACATAACTTTGATATTTTTATTTTATGTTTTACAATTACCAAAAATTCTTAAGCTTTGGTCAATGATAACTTCTCATACTAGAAATCAGAAGATGTAAGTTTTAGCTAATCACTCTCCAATATATAGAGAGATTCGAACTCCTAATTTTTTTTTGGAATATTTCCTAATTATTACACCAATAGAACTACAGACGTTTTGTTTTCAAAAAAAAAAAAGAACTACAGACGTTTTATAAATCCAGTTAATACTATATTTTTTTAAATTAAAAAAAAAAATAGTTATTTCAAAAACTGGTTATAATAGGGCCATACAGTAGTGGGCTTTTTATAGGTCCAGTACCGGTCCGTAAGAGTCAGTCCGGTCCACGAACCACCGCACCGCTGGTTTAAGTTATCTGACACCTCGCGCACACTAGTAAAAGTTTTTTCATCTCACGCTAACATGCACCAACGGCAAACGTTAAAATAATTTAGGAAATTTCAAGATTTAACATTTTTTTACACAACTTTCTCTCTCTTGCCTCTTCTTCAGTTCTTCTCCGTCTCTCCGTCGTTGCGCAACCGCACAGTTGATATCGTTTCTTCTCTCCTCTCTTTATTCTTCTTCTTCTCCTCATGGAGATTCCGCTGCTTTTGCTGATCGTATCAGTGCCTACAATTTCATCGTGTTGATTTGGTCTCGATTGGAGGGAGCCAAGAAGAATATATCTTTGAAATCAGCATCGAATCTAGGGTTTTAGAGTGCTGGGTTTCTTCAATTGGTTGCTGTTCTTGATCTTGTTCATGGTGGGTTACATCTGATTTTGGTGTTTGAATTGTTAGTCATACGGAATTTGAATTGAGATGGGTAATGTTGAAATTCCGAATTGGCTTAAAGCTTTGCCATTGGCACCTGTGTTTAGACCTACAGACACTGAATTTGCAGATCCCATTGCGTATATATCGAAAATCGAGAAGGAAGCTAGTGCTTTTGGGATTTGCAAGATCATTCCTCCTTTACCCAAGCCATCCAAAAAGTATGTTTTCTATAACTTGAACAAGTCTCTTTTGAAGTGTCCGGAGTTGGTTTCGGATGTTGACATTTCCAAGGTGTGTAAAGAGGATAGAGCTGTATTCACCACTAGGCAGCAAGAATTAGGCCAGACTGTGAAAAAAACGAAAGGAGAGAAGAGTAAGAGTAATTCTCAAAGGAGTGGTGTTAAGCAGGTTTGGCAAAGTGGAGGCGTATATACATTGGAGCAGTTTGAAACTAAGTCGAGAACTTTCTACAAAAGCCAATTAGGGACGATTAAAGAAGTGTCACCAGTTGTCGTTGAGGCATTGTTCTGGAAAACGGCTTCAGAAAAGCCTATATACATAGAGTATGCTAATGATGTGCCTGGCTCTGCTTTCGGTGAGCCAGAGGGTCATTTCAGGCATTTCCGGCAGAGGAAGAGGAGGGGCAGGGGATTTTATCAGAGGAAGACAGAAATCAATGACCCATCAGGTAAGAACGGTGAAAACTCATCCCCTGAGGTAGAAAAGGCACCCCTTGCTTCTACAAGTTTATCATCTCAGGATTCGTCCAAGCAGAAGAACGTGGATATTGTTGATGAAATGGAAGGCACTGCAGGCTGGAAGCTCTCCAACAGTTCGTGGAACCTTCAGACGATTGCACGTTCACCTGGTTCTGTTACACGTTTCATGCCAGATGACATCCCTGGTGTCACATCTCCCATGGTTTATATCGGTATGTTGTTCAGCTGGTTTGCCTGGCACGTTGAGGATCATGAGCTTCACAGTATGAATTATCTTCACACTGGCTCACCAAAGACTTGGTACGCTGTCCCTTGTGATTATGCGCTTGACTTTGAAGAGATTATCCGCAAAAATTCTTATGGCAGAAACATTGACCAATTGGGTACGTTCTTTTTGAAAACTACTGCTAATGATGATATAATGATTCTGTATATATAGAGATGTGTTGTTGTTATAATGCATGTGAAAAATGAGGTTTCCTAGAATGATTACCGCATCGACTTTTTCTTTAATAGCATCATTTTCCTACTTTGCAAATGAAAATGTGGCTAACATTGACCATGGTATGAAGGGAGTTTATTACTCGTGGTTAAATGTCGTAGGTCTTATTGTTTTTACGCTATGATAGATAGGAGACATTGCAATACTTCTTAGGAAATGCTTTGTCCTTCTGTTTCTCATTAACTCTTCTCTGCTCGTTGTTACTATCAGCTGCTCTCACCCAACTAGGCGAAAAGACAACTCTTGTATCACCTGAGATGATAGTTGCATCTGGCATTCCCTGCTGTAGGTAGGCCTTTTATTTCATTGAAACTTTCACTTCTGTTATGTGGAGATGTGAGGCAGTATATGTTTTCTTATAAATACTTCCATGCTCTGCTATATCTATGTTTATTTGTCTTTGTTTGCCTACGTAGGTTGGTACAAAATCCTGGTGAATTTGTTGTGACTTTTCCGAGGTCTTATCATGTAGGATTCAGCCACGGTAAAATGCCTTTTTTCAAACATTTATTTCAAGTCTTAGTGATTCTATGCATTCCATTTGCACTCTCTAAAGTGGTTGAGAAAATGTGAAAAATTGAATAAAGCTGTGGAGAAAAAGGGTGTTTATCGACATAGCATGAGGTGAGGATTGATCTTCTAATCAGAAGAATGAAGAATCATATTTCTATTGAGTAGTTAGATCAGTCACATAGTAAAAAAGTGGTTAGTTTGGCTTAGATTAGGAATACGAATTACGAACTTTTCGGAATCCATAACTAAGCAGATTTAATATAACTTTTCCTAGGTTTTAACTGTGGGGAAGCCGCTAATTTTGGAACCCCACAGTGGCTCAACGTAGCTAAGGAAGCTGCTGTGCGTCGGGCAGCCATGAATTATCTACCCATGCTGTCCCATCAGCAGCTGCTATATCTCTTGACCATGTCCTTTGTTTCAAGGCAGGTTACCATGATCTCTTTGTCAGATAACCTTTTAAGTTTTGATGGACCATGTCAATGCTCATATTCTTGTAAATATTACATTTTCCAGAGTGCCACGATCATTGCTACCAGGTGGTCGTAGCTCCCGACTGAGAGATCGGCAGAGAGAAGAAAGAGAGTTCCTTGTGAAAAGAGCTTTTGTAGAAGATATATTGAACGAAAACAAGAATTTATCTGTTCTTCTTCGAGAACCAGGCTCTCGTTTGGTGACGTGGGACCCTGATTTACTTCCGCGTCATAACGCAGTGGCTCTTGCAGCTGCTGCTGCTTCTGCTGTTTTACCTCCAGCAGTGGCAACAAATGAACTTGAGGAGGGTCATTCTGAATTGCAGAATAAAGAGAAGACGACTCTTTTAGAGGAATTGAGCTTGTTCATGGAGAAGCTGAATGATGTATACTACGACGATGATGATGGTCTGCTTAACGATTTCCAAGTTGATTCTGGAACCTTGCCATGTGTGGCGTGTGGCGTTCTTGGCTTCCCCTTTATGTCTGTGGTCCAGCCTTCAGAGAAAGCATTAAAAGATCTCCCAGAGAGACAAGGAGATACAGGTAACAGATCAGTTCTTATCCAAGCTATGAACTGCATCATATGCCTTTTAAAGCCTATTAATTGTGTTTCTATTAACTATACAGATGCTCAGGAAATTACGACACTGTCATCAGAAAAGTCTGACTGCGAATGGAAAACGTCTTCTCGATATATAAGACCTCACATTTTCTGCCTTGAACACACTATTGAACTTCAGAGACTGCTGCAACCCAGAGGTGGACTGAAGTTCCTTGTAATTTGCCATAAAGGTTAGTCTGCATCATTTGCTCTACTTTTTGACAAACTGTTACATAGGAGAGAATTATGAGTTTTACACCCACCTGAAAACGAAAATTATGTAAAAATCTGTTGATTGTTGATCATTCTGCTGTAACCTTTTTGAAATTGTTGCAGACTTTCAAAAATTTAAGGCACATGCGGCTATAGTGGCAGAGGAGGTCAAAGTCCCTTTCAGATATGATGATGTCCTGTTAGAGAGTGCATCTCAGGAAGAGTTGAGTTTAATTGATCTTGCAATTGAAGATGAAGAAAACTACGAACACGGTGTAGACTGGACCTCAGAACTTGGCATCAATTTACGGTACTGTGTTAAAGTGAGGAAAAATTCCCCTACTAAGAAAATTCAGCATGCACTGTCACTAGGTGGCTTGTTCTCCGATACCAGCCAGATGCTAGATATTTCAACTATGAGATGGCTGCAGAGAAAATCACGCTCAAAAGCTAAACCCATTTCTACCTCAAGTTTCACACCTCGTGAACATCTTGAAGTAAAAGCAGATGGAAAATTAAGGGATAATATGGATTCTCAGGCCGGAAAAAAGGAAGAAAAGATCATCCAGTACTCTAGAAAGAAAAAGTTGAATCCAAAGCCTTCTGCAGAACATGGTCAGGAGCTAGCTACCCTAGCTAAATCAAAAGATTTTGATAAGACATGCAATAAATTTACCAATAGGTCACATCTGGATAGTGCAATTCGTTCTGAGATGAACAGTGAGATTGGAGACTCTGGAAGGGTCATTGGGGTATCATTTTCCATAAATCCTTGTAGCTCATCTTTCACTGTGGGACATGGGCAAGAACATCCCGAGATCACTGTCAAGTTTGGTTCAGCTTTAGATGGGAATGTCACAAATAGTTCCAGTATGGGGAATACAGACTCTGCTGACCTAACCTTAACCTCCATATCTAGAGAGCACCAAGGACACTCTTTGACCAGCAACAATAATGGCTCCAACTCAGGTAGTCATGTTGTGGCAAGCCAGACCATACTTGTTTCTACAGATAATAATCATGGTGGACCAAGAAAATTGTCTGGTGATTATGTCTGCAGTGATGTGTTTGTACGTGGTATTCAGGAAGCGGTTGAAATGAGTGACCAAGAGTTTGGAGAACCTAGGTCTACTGTCACTAATATCGAGGATGAACAGCAATCAAAGTTGGTGCAACCAACCAAAAGAGAAGCTGTATCTGGTGATCACGCACAGGTGGAGGGAGCAGAAGCTGTGTGTACCATAGAAAACTTGTGCTCTGAAATTATTCTGCACACTGAGCATTCTTCAGCTCAAGTGGGTATGGAAATTCCTGAAATAAACACGGCCAGTGAGAACATAGTTGTTGACATGACCCATGATGGTGAACCTTTAGAAAGTAGTGATATATTAAGTTCGAGCAACGGTGATCAAGCTTCTTCAAATGGATTGCAAGTTCTAGATGATGAGCTTAGCATGGAGAGCGAAGTTTCAAGCTCAGAAAACACTGAGGTTATCGAGGCTCCCAATTCTATGGAAGAAGCAAAGAAGAAGCGGAAAATAGAATCAGAGTGTGAAACAAATGATAATCTAGAGCGTAGCATTGGTTTCATAAGGAGTCCTTGTGAAGGGTTGAGGTCAAGGGGCAAGAGGAAAGAAACATGTGAAACTTCATTAAAGCCCACTGAAACGAGTGATGAAGAGAGGAAACCCATTGCGAAAAGGCTCAAGAAAACTCCAAAGGCTTGCTCAGGGAGTTGTCACCAAGAAGTCCCCGCGACAACTCACCCCAACCGATGTTACCTAGAGGGATGCAAGATGACTTTTGAGAGTAAAGCGAAATTACAAGCTCACAAGAGAAACCGTTGCACTTACGAAGGGTGTGGAAAGAAATTCAGGGCTCACAAATATCTGGTGCTTCATCAACGTGTTCATAATGATGAAAGACCTTTCGAGTGCTCTTGGAAAGGATGTTCCATGACTTTCAAATGGCAATGGGCGAGGACAGAGCATTTGCGTCTGCACACAGGAGAACGACCATACAAATGCAAGGTGGATGGATGCGGATTGTCGTTTAGGTTTGTATCGGATTATAGTCGCCACAGACGGAAAACCCTGCACTATGTCACATAGAACGGCACTGAATGCTGCAAAATGGTGGCTGGAGAAAGTGAAAGGGCCTCTCTTTGGAATTGAGAGTTGTTGTAAGATCTAATATCTGGTTGGTTTTTTTAGTTGTTGTCTAGTGTTTTAGACCGTTGTTATGTCTCTTTTTGTAGTAGATGCGACTTCTTTCCACTTTTGAGAACGACTCACTCACACTCTTGTTTGCTTTGACTGTTAAACTCGTAACCATTGGATTCAAAATGTTAATATGCATGATTTTCCCATTTAATCCCAGATCTCTTATTTATTAGGTTCCCAAACGGTTTAGCAAAAATTATCTTGGAACAACTTGTGGATCTTGTTTTCTCCCAGTTAACAAATAGTACCTATCTTTTACGGAATTGTGTTTTAATTGGAAACATAAGTTTTGAGTTTGGTTACGTGAGATTGACGAACTCAATGAGAATCTCACGTAACCAAACTCAAAACTTATGATATGGCATATCATACGTGTGATTGACACACATATCACGGTGAGAAGTATGATATGTGTGTCATTTGGAATTGACGAACACGTGTATTAAACTTGGAATCTATGTCAGATATTGTTGTTACGTATACGTGAGTTAATCCATTATTCTTAATTCTTATTTTTAGAGTTTTTTCTTGTTCTACAAAATTTAATGTTTTATAATAACATCATTATTACTTTTATTTGTAACCAATAAAAAAAGGAAAGAAGTAAAACTAAAATTATTAAATTAATAAACAAATAATTAAATAATATAAAAATTATTTTTTTTTAATTTACGTATAAAACTCAAAACATCAAACTTAAGAGAACATAAAAAATTTTATCTATCGATTACGTATCTTATTAAATCAGTAAATCACGATATAACGCTAGTAATAATATAATATTTATTTTACCAGCAAATATGAAGGAATTGTAGAACTTGGATTAGATGATTGAAGGTGTGAAAAAAAAAAAAAAACAAAGGTAACCATTAATTATTAATGATTGTAATATCTAGTAAACCACCTCGTACCTCAGCGTGACAGCGACTCCTAATACCAAATACGATAACACACATGCCAATTGAAGTAGAGAAATTGTTAAAAATACCCCTTTTGGTGTGCCCCTTTTCAAAAATGCCCCTTTTAGATGTCCATTTTCAAAAATGTCCCTTTTAAAATCTGAAATTTTTATAAAGTTTTATTAGGTTTATAAGGTACTTATGGATTGTAACTACTACTTGAAGACTCGATCCAAGTATTTATAAGGTTTTATAAGGGGTTTTTAAAGGTTTTACAAGTTATTTTAAAGGATTTTTAAGGTTTTTCAAAGATTTTACAAGATATTTTAAAGGTTTTTAAAGGTTTTTAAAATGCATTTATAAGGAATTTATAAAGTATTTATAAGATTTTATATACATAGAAATGTAGTTTGTGTATGTTTTAATAATATTACATACATATTTGGGTAAATCTTATATTTTTAAGAGCATTTTTTATAAGGTTTTAAAAAAGGGGTATTTTTGAAAAGTGACATTGAAAAAGTGGCATTTTTGCAAAAGTCCCATTGAAGTAATATGTGCAACTATAATGTCTAGAAAAAAGTGGAAAAATTAAATATACAGTGATTAATGATTATAATGAATGTAAATTTAAAGAAATAAATAAATTTACAAAAAATTGTAGGAATAGAGAAACAAATTATTTGGTAATTTATGACTAAAAAATGAAAATATCTGAAAAGGATTAAATAAAGCGTGATCTAATCGTTATAGAAAGTGGAGACACGTGGACAAATCAGGGGAGGGTATTGGGAAATAGCGGGGTTTTAGGATTGTCTTTAGCAACCGACCTCCGATATTAACCCGACGACGGTGTGAAACGCCGTTAATGTTATATATATCTGCCGGCTCTTTTCTTTTTTCAACGGCTGCGATTCTCTCTCTCTGACCAAACCCATCTTCAAAGGTTTTCTCTTTCTTTCACTTTTTCTCGTTCCCAAAATTTTCATTAAAAAGTTTCAGCGATCTCCAGGTTCCCGAGGTTGGTGAGTTTTCCAAATTCTCTAACTTTTTTTCCCTTTTCTTTTCATTTGATCAATTCGTTTTGAAAAGGTCAATCAATTGTTATTAAAAATTATTATATTGTTGGATTTGTTGGGGCTTTTTGGTGAAATTTGGTTCTGGGTTGGTCTCCAAATTGATGAGTTGGGCGGCAATCTGTTGCTTTTAGCCTATTGCTTTGATGATTTGCACACTAAATGCGGTTTCTTTTGATAGTTTATACATCATATCGAGAGAGTTTGTTAATGATCATGCGTTCCTCGTTTTCCATCTTTTGCAGGAAACTCAATTCTAAACGCAAGAGCAAGCCAAAAAACGCAATTTTGGTTGTTTGTGTTTTATAAAGTTTGACAATTTTATCAGTTTTTGAATAAATGGGGTATGAGCCTGATCCTGATGCTCTTCGCTGGGGTCTTCATGATCTGGAGGTTTGTACACTTACAAATGCTGGTTCTTGCTCTACTGTAACAAGGTATGAGTCAGGTGGTGGTGGTACTCAAGGCTATGTTAGAGAAGGTTATAATCAGCCTTTGACTGGTTATGTAGACAATGATGCGGCAATTGCTCAGTTTTATCAAGACGAATTGTCTAGAGTTGCTCGAGCCGAAGCATCGGGGCTCAATAATCTTAGTCCTACTTCTGTTGTTGCACAAGAGTGGCCTCATCCTCATCAAGGTGGATTTTCAAAAGTTCTTAGCTTTTATGAATTGTCTATGGAATCACTATTTGGAAAATCATTAGTTTACTTTTTGTCTGCAGGGCAGGAAAATCAAGGGGAAGCCATTGCTATATCCCGGGAAAGTGATATTCTTCATAATCATAACGGTAACATGGAAGATAAGAATGTTGCAAGGATAAGATTTCAAGGAGGACAAAGTTCCCCACCTCGTGATGATGACTCAGTTTGTTCTGTAGAAATAGAAGAAGAATCTTGGTCAGAGGTTGGGAAGCGACTGAATCAAATGATACCTATTGCTGTAAGTACCTCTTTTCTTTGTGAGGTTTTCTGATCAACTTATCAGAAGCATATGTAAGTTTTAAAACCCCTGATTTTGCTTGGTGTGATGCAGCACGTGCCGAAAATCAATGGGGAATTACCGTCAGAGGATGAACAGATATCTGATCATGAACGGCTATTTCAGAGGTATGTTATAGATGTGGTATCCAATACATGCTAGAGAACAATTGCTTGTCACCATTTCCGTGGATTTGGTTGGTTTTTTTAAGCTGTGAGAACATAGAAATGCAATCATATCTCTAGTCTCAAGTTGCATGGTTAATTGGTACATCGATTTTCTGGAACAACCTGAGCTGCTTCAAATGAACTAATATTGACTTAATTAATTTTGATAGCTGAGATTTTTGTGGTTTCAAACTTCTTCTCAGGCTTTTTGTTAGTTAGTGCTAAGAGTCCAAACAGATTGTTTTAACTTGGCAATTAATCTTAGCTTTATACATTTATATGAATGGATATTTAGAAATCTCTTCTTTTGTATGGCAATTATAAACTACAGATTACAGCTTTATGGCTTGGTGGAGAACAAGATTGAAGGAGATGGAAACTGCCAGGTTTTTTTCTTTTTCTCATTTCTAATAAAGGCTTTGCAGATAAATCTCTAGCAGCGTCTCACTGGTTTACATTTTTCCTCAGTTTCGGTCACTATCAGACCAGCTTTACCGCTCTTCAGAACACCATAACTTTGTCAGAGAACAAATTGTTAATCAGGTTGAGATATAGTACCAAGAAAAGAATCTATTCTCCTCCATTTCAGTTCAATATTCTTATCCTTTGATGATTTAACATTCTCATATATATATTCCAGCTTGCATATAATCGAGAGATGTATGAAGGTTATGTTCCAATGGCGTACAATGACTATCTTAAAGCAATGAAACGGTCAGAAACTTTCAATTCCTACCATTGAAGGTTACTGCTTTAGCTTATCACTAATGGTGAGAATTTCCTAATGTTTTGGGAACACAGGAATGGAGAATGGGGTGATCACGTTACTCTTCAGGCTGCTGCGGATTGGGTACTTACACAACCTAAGCACTTTCTTTTCTGTAGAAATTTTGTGTGTAAGATGAAAGAATCTTTAGGGAATGAGGTGAGATTTAGCTACTTAAGTACCTTTTTTTTTGCTGTTATTGCAGTTTGGTGTTCGGATGTTTGTGATAACGTCATTCAAGGATACATGTTACATTGAGATCTTGCCGCAATTTCAGAAGTCTAATCGCCGTAAGTCACCTACAACTGCAAATATTCTCTCGTTTGACCCAAAATCTCAGACATACAATAAATTAATGTGTTGGCTTTTGAATCAGTTATATGTTTAAGCTTCTGGGCTGAGGTTCATTACAATTCAATCTATCCTGAAGGAGGTATGTGACATTTCTTGTATGATTATAATCTGTTATAGATTCTGTTAAGATTTCTTGTTTGATCAAATTAGTTTGACTATTGAGCTTTGTCTTCCTGTGTTCTTGGCAATGTGTAGAGCTGCCCATACCGGAAGGCAAGAAGAAGAAGAAATATTGGGTTTTCTGATGGAAGCACAAAGTTGATGAAGTCTGCATATCAATATGTTTATTCTTTTTTTTCTAACTTAGAATATATTTAGTGTTAGAGAGCATTATGCGCTTGTATATACTGAACATAATCCCGTTAGCCATAGTCTGCTCATTCTTTTCAATAAAAGTTGTATTGATCTTATAAATAAGTAAGAGTCTACAATTACATTACATTTGTGGGTATCAACCGATATAGGATGGCTACAATTCTTGCTTACCAAAGCCTCAATGTGTTTCCCTTACTCCAATAGTCTAGTTACAGAACAGATAAAAAAACAAGACCAATCAACCGATAGTTCAAGTTACAGAACACATACTCCCATAACTGAACATTCCTATGAGTGACCCCAAAAAACTAAGAACAATCTGAGGAAAAAAGAGCAGAGCCTTGAGACCGCAATTCAACTGATTGAATCGTTCTCTATCATTTCCCTGACTTCGTTAACCACAAAATGCGCTTTGTGGCCGCCAATAACTTCAGCTTGTTTCTGACCATCTCTCCATAGCTGCAGAGTGAATAAGACACAGAAATCAGTGATTGTTTTGAAAAGAGTTTAGTCAGAGTCTAGATCTGAATTATAAGTTCCTTGAAGATATGGGAAAGGATAAAAGAAACCTGAATCGTTGGCATTTTCTGCGTCCCCCGGTGTTCCAAACATTAATTAAGTAGTTGTTAGATCAACAAGCCAACAATCCAAGGTTCTGATTAAAATTGATTCGAAAAGAGTTGTTAATACAGGAGGAAGATTTGTAGAATAGGGCTTACCGTAACTCCTGCACGGGAAACAAGTCTATATGGCACAGCGTTGACATCAACATGATAAAACCGCAGTCTGGAAGAAATAGTTTGAATCAGAAAACCACCAGTAAGGTAAATATGTAGGCACCAGTTAGAATAAATCTCACTGTCAAGATCCAAACATTCTCTGAAAACAAGAATATAAAATTACTCAAAACCTTGGATAGAATTCAGCAGCCAGCTTTTCGAGTTTTGGTTTCAAGTAAATACATTTCCTGCACCAAGCTGCCATCCTACAAAATCCATGTAGCTAATCTTCACCAAACCATAAATACACAATCAAACACATAAGAGAGCAAAGACTCGAGCTTTATGAAGAAAACAAACAATTGACGAATTCAGGAGACAGTGAAACACCATGAGAAATCCAAAAACGTAGGAAGAATCTGAGTGCAAAGTACTCTTTTTTTCCATCGGATTCTTGTTGATACTAGAATCAAGGAACCAATCCCATATAGATTTGATCTAAAATCTCTAACCTAGAAACTCACCAGACAATTACAACTGATTCACCAAGCTTCTGAGCTTCCTCCATCACTTGATCAAAGTGGCTCTCGCCACAGATCGGTCCGAGCTCAACAGACACCGGCGAGTCATCGAGCTCTTGCAAACCACCGTCCTGCTTCAGGGCATCGACTTCTCGGAATCTCTCCGCTGCCAAACAGATTTTATCGGTAAAAGAATGAAATTTGAAGTATCTCGGTTGAGAGAATAAGCTCGAGGTTTGACGAGAGAGATATGGAGGAACCAAAGCTGAGATCTTTGGGTTTAAAGATCGCAGAGATGATGACAAATTTACAACTTCTGACATTCTCTTTCACTGAAACTCTCAACAAGATTAGCAATAATAATACGTAACCTCCAATCCAATAGTCAAATATACCAGAAAAATAAACTCTTTTAGTTTTAGGAAAAGCCCCCACCGTTTTAATGGTAATATCGGATTAAAGCCTCTACTTTTATATGAAACAATATAACCCAACAACATTCCGATGATCTTACATATCAAAAACCATACTTGAAGCTGTTTTATCTTACAAAACTGTCACATCAACACTGTTCAAGAAAGCAACACTGTTCAAGAAAGCAAAAGAATTTATCAACTTCGTTTAGCTCTGTTTAACCTGAAAGACATGAACACTGTTCCATATTTTGGCTTATGAGGTCACAAAAAATGTACAAGTGTATGATTGAATTGCTGGGCAGATCCGCTGAAACTGTAACTGGAGATCGGTGACTGAAATTTTTAAGCTAGCTATCTCTCGATGCAGAGAAGCTAATACCGTCTTCAGAATTCCTAGTAAATGTGGGGCATAGCCATTTGATCATGTTAGGGCCTAACACCTGTGAAAAGCATGTAACTTTTTCTGGTCAAGTTCTTGATCAGAAATACATAACAGCGATGAATTGACTGAAGACTTCACATTGTGTAAGACACAAATGATAGAGGTCAATGTAATGAAAGGTACCGAGGTGATGTTTTTGTAAACACCAATATCGAATTGATGCCTAAAGCTTTGTCCTGATTTTCTAGCTAACCACGAGGCCCGCTTTGAATCATAATGCTACAAAGAAAAATTGCCGATTTACGCATTGAAATTTTATATGGAAGAAAGCCTCTTTATACGTCCTATCTTGAAGACTGTAGAGGAAAAATAGAATGCATACCTCAATGGTGGTTATATTGTGTGCGATGAGGTAGATATGCCAACAAAGGAGAGTCCCAAGTGTTATGCTTAGTCCGATCATGAAGATCCCACAACAAACCTATACCGTCAACAAAACACCGATAACTGTAAGTTGCTTTCGATACCGATAAGTTACTCATCTCTAAGTTTTCTATTCTTCAGAAAAAGATGTGATTCCTCGATAAATCTGCTTGATGACAAGTAACAAGTTTTTGAGAGAGTGCAGCATTCTTTTGAAACCAATGAAAATCGCTTAAATGCTAAGGATGCAGAAGCTATAGAAGACTTTCCAGTAAACAAAACTTACAATGAAAGTTTTGAGTGGAACATTTCCCGCATAGGAATCTCCGTTCTTGAATGCACAGCAAACCAGCAACACCTAAAATAACATTCATACACATAAGAGGAAAGTCTGACCAAGAAAAAGATTCATAAATTGAGAATTGGGATTTAAGTACTGTAGAGTAGATGGAAGCCACAGTTGCATAAAACACAAGAATGAAGAAAGCCTTATAGTTTGCATAACCAACACAGTTATTTATCCAAAGGCAATGGTGGTCCTGTCACATATATACATAAAAAACCGTTTAAAAACGAATCTCGATACACAAGATTCTGACAAAGCTTTGACTCAAAAGTGCTAAAATTTACCTACCATCTTCAAGACGCATCTTCTGCAAACTCGGCAATGGTGAGTCCGAAGAGGTTTATATGCAAAGCACTTATCACATTTCCTTGTTTCTGTAGCCTAATAAGTTAAATCAAATCAGAACAACATAATTCTATGCCCACTTGCAATCTCAAATTATCCAGGAGGAGGCAAATTTAGAACTCGAGGATTTCAAAATTTAAGCAGCTACTTTATATCAAACAGCATCAGTGATATAGCCATTCTTCCTAAGCTTAACACTAACATTAAACCCCTTTTCTGTAACACGGAAGAGAAAAAGCCATCGACTTTCACCTATTGTGAGCCTAAACTTCTTCAAATGACAATATAAGAATCGGTTACCGATCAATAAAGGCAAAAAAGTAGCAAACCCCAAAGATTCACAGATTTATCACTACTACTAGTTCAAAAGAGCAACAAAACATAAATACCCAAATGCTTCAAATTCAGAGGTACACAGGGGGAGCTTACGTTACCATTGGACCAGCCAGAGTCTTCAACATCAGGAACATAAGATGCTGGAACACGACCTGGATCTACAAGAACGCAAATCGAGAGCGAGAAGAGACAGAGAGATGCCAAGAAGCTGAAGAGTAAGGCGTTTAATTTCCCAGCTGAGCTTCGTAAACCAACCCAATCATCAATGAAAATGAAGAGTGTGACGTAGTACACGAAACCCATCACCAGAATGACCGAAAGGACCGGGATCGAGAAGAATCTCCGGCAACTCATCGCCAAGATCTCTCCGTGGCTCGTGAACTCTCGACCGGTTTATTCCTCGCCCGCCCAAAATTTGATGGTAAACCGAATCGAAATTTCCCAAAATGAAAAAGAAAAAAATAAGTTAGTCAAATTTGCTTGAAACGAACGATATTTAATTCGCTACTTAATTACTTACCAGTGCGAAACGGGCTCATTAGTTTGTGGTGGCTTAATATGGTATCAACTAATTAAATTGGGCTTGTGGCCTAATATAATGAGGAAGAAATTTAAATTTACTTCATAAAGTATTAGGCTATTAGCTTACTTTTTATTTATAACAATTATAAAATCTAAACAAAATCCCTTTAATATCTTTAAACCCGTTTGACTCGTAATTGTTGTTTTTTGTATATATCATTGAACAATTCTTGGGTTCACCCCTAGGAGTGAACTACTTTCATTCACCCCCTTTTAATTATCCAATTAGAATTTGCCATATCATCTAGTTAAAAAAATTAAAACAATAAGATTAAGTCATAACCACTCTTTTATAAACCGAAAACGATATTTAATCTCGTTTAATCACAAAATCTAAACCCTAATTCTCTTTTGTAAACCCAAACCGTCATTTAAACTCGTTTAATCGTAAAAAATCTAAACCCTAATCGTACTTTCTAAACGCAAACCGACACTTAACCTCGTTTAATTGTAAAATCTAAATCCGTTTATAAACCCAAACTGATAGTTAAATTCGTTTAATCATAAAATCTAAACTCTAATCCTTTCTAATAAACCTAAACCGATACATAATTTCATTTTAGTGGCAAATTAAATTTTATAATTAAATAAATTTTTTATTATTAATAGGTGGCAGATTTTAATTGGATGAAATAAAAGGGGTGAACATAAGAGGTTCACCCCTAGGAGTGAACCCAAGTATTTTTCTATATCATTTATCTTTGAGTAGTTTTTCTAATAAATAATTTTAGTTAAAACTATTATTAACATCTGAACTTAAATACTTTATTTTAAAACTTAGTTATCAACTAAAAATTTTAAATATAGAGATTTTTTTTTAAGTGTTCATTTGTATGTTGTCTATAGACAATAAATCGATTTTCCGTCTACCCAATTGTAGAAATAACTAAATTTCACAACTATTTAGATTGCTTCTATAGTATTAAATCATCAATGGCATCAATTGTACGTTGGTCGTCGATGTTGTTGTATATAATCTCATTTTTCTATTGATTTGATTAGAATAACGTACAAAATTTGTCCGTCGATTCCAAGTGGTCTAGAGGAAAAAAAGCTCGAGGTTTGATGAGTGAGAAATCCAAAAATGTGGGAAGAATATGAGTGAAAGTTTTGGTAATGAATTTGAAGAGTATCAAACTAGATCCATCACCTCCAAAGTAAAGCAATTCATTTATGGAAACACTTAGCATTCTTGGACTTGGACGGTGAGGCCTAAATGTTACAACACAAGTATCAATCATTTTTCATTTGCGTTGACCCAAGGTTAACAGGAAGTAGACAACGTCCTCTGCTTCTTCACAAGCCACTAGTAGTCGATACAACCCCGAGAAAAGTCAAATCCTAAGAAAGCTATGGTTACTTTCTTGGGTAAAGCATGAGCTATTATCTGTTATGTCGTTGAAGGATTCAATAGGAGTAGCCTTGAGACACTAGGGTACAAAATCAATCCTCTTTCATAGTAGTAGGCTCTGCCTAGGCCCTCTGTTATTGGACAGAGTCTGATAGTGACCGGTATCTGCCGTCTGTCATCTTCAAAAATCCAAACTTGCCAGAGAAGTAAAGAAGAAAAACAAAATTTGAAGAGAGAAAACAATCTGAAATTAGTTTCAACGGTAGGATTTCTTTATCAAGATTAATGGTTCGTTGTTGGCTCAAATCAATAAACGCTATCCGTTTAAAACCAAACTAGATCATCACCCGTACTACAGTACGGGTTAAATTTTATTTATTACAAAATTTATATATTATATATTTTAGAATAAAGTTGTGATATATTATAATAGTAATTGAAAAAATATAATTAGATTTTTGTCAGTCCCTATATATAATATTAGAATGAATATATTTTCCTTTTTTAATTATACTCAATTATGGATTTTTTTTTTAAGATATGAAAACGGAAAATAAAATTATTTTAATAAATTAATATGGTCTGAACAATTAGTTAATTTATATTAACAACCATAAAATGAGATTGCATATAATTCAGTTAGATCAAAAATCAAAATATTATAAATGAATCGCTTCTAAAACGTAGATTATTTTAATTAATTAAGAAAGTTAGCTATTATTTGCAATTAATTTAGGAAATTATTTTTTCAATTTCTAATTCTTTGGTTGTTGAAATAGAGATTTGTTTGAGGTAACTACGAAATTTACAAATTATTCGCGTGATCGAATATGTTATGAACATATATTTAGTATATAATATACCAAATTCAATCCGTACGTGGAATTTATATTTTTATTTTAGAATCCTAATGAAAATATTGCGTATACAATCTATTATTCGTTATTTCCAAAATTGCTTGCACAATTAAATTTTCAAATATTTTGTGGTGTCAACTTTATTTAATATATCTAATCATATAATCTTAACATGCCATCTATTATAAGGATCATAATTTTATATCATATAATATATTACATTTAACCCTCCGCCTACTATAACTATTTTAAATATATCTTTTTAGAAAATCAAATTACAGTATTTATAATTTTTTTTATCTTTTTAATCTATTAAATATTTATGATATT